CCCCCCCCCCCCCCCCCCGTTAATGCAAGCCAGTAATACTAGTTACTGAGAAGGCCTGCCTTAAATAGTGAGTACAAAGCCAGCTTAGGCAACTTAGTAGATGGTGTTTCAAATTTTTGAAAAAGTAAAAGAGGGTTGAGGATCTGGCTTAGTGGCAAGTACTCGACGGGCAGGGGTACGGCCCTATATGCAATTCTCAGTACCACCAAGTTACTTAGCACGATGACACATGCGCACTGGCAGGAGTGGAGGTTTACACGCCTTCGCGGTAAACCAGACTCCCCTGGATCTGAACCCCAGTGCTGCCAACTACACACCTTCAGCAAACATTTCTCTTCTCAGAATAGACTTGGATCCATTGGGTCCTGCATGTAGTGCCTAACTTTTGATTTGATGTGTGCTCCTTTTGATGGGGTAGGGACAGCAGTAGGGATCAAACCCAGAGCCTTTTGTGAATGCGACTGTTGTGCTGTACTACCAACCTACATCCTAAGCTTGAGGTGAATGTTCTTCATAAACTGAAAAAAAGAGATGGTTGGAAACTCCTAAGTCGGAATGCTTGTGCTCACAGCTCAGTGTTGTCATTTGATGGCTTAGGAGAGTGACTGAGCCTCCCCAAATTCCAGTTTTAATTCATGTGTTTAAGTGAAATCTATTTCATTATCTTTGGCTAACAATATAACCTACCCCGTGAAGTGTTTTAAAACTGAAATGCGATGGTGTCTGCAGAGGGCTCCATGTGGGCTGTTCTCCACCCATCAGCCCTTGGTACTCTTCAGTTACTGGAATCTGTAGTGACCACTCATGACATTCTTGCCATTGCAAAGTGGCCTGGGTTCCAAAATAGGGTAGAGGTCAGCCAGGTGCAATGGTGTAAGGCAGATTGGTATGTAATGGTTCAAAAAAGGATACTACCTACCAGCACTTTCATTAGTGTGAAATCAATGGCTTATTGAAAATAGCAGACACAGTTTAAATTTTGCCAATTTGTTTAATCATTGTAAGAATCTTGTAAGGCAAGTGCTCTAATTAAGAAAAAAAAAACATAAACAAGCTCAAAGAGGTCTATGTATATTAGGTGAAACAAAGAAAATGCAGTGTTTAATAGATCCAAAGTGTGTGTGTGTGTGTGTGTGTGTGTGTGTGTGTGTATATATATATATATATATATATTTTTTTTTTTTTTTAAAGTTGTTGTTGTTTTTTAGTTTTTTGAGACAGGGTTTCTCTGTGTAGCTCTGGCTGTCCTGGAACTCGGCTCTGTAGACCAGGCTGGCCTTGAACTCACAAAAATCTGCCTGCCTCTGCCTATGCAGGGATTAAAGTGAGTGCTGGGATTAAAGGTGTGTGTGCCACCCAGATAACTACAAATATTCTAAGTGAACTGTCCCTACACACTTGCAATGACAGACACAATTAAAACTTAGTGACCATTAAGCCTCCTTTGTTTCATATTAGTCTTTGTCTTTTCAAATAGAAGGGAAAGATCTTCAGTTCAAGGCCCAATCCCAGCAACATTTTAAAAAATCTGCTTGGTTTTGGTTTTGTGGTGCTAGGGATTAAACCGGGACCTCATGTGTGCTGGTCAAGCATCCAACCACTGAGCTACATCCGTAGCTCGACATGCTGTTGGTGGCCCATACCTCCCCCCTCTGTACCACCCGCCTCCTGCTGAAAAGGGACCAGGCCATGTACTAACTATCACGTGGGCCCTGGCACCAGCAAGTGCTTACCTGGAGGAGATAAAGAAGTCCAGGGGCAAACAAGGTGATTGGGTACAGAGACTGGTATGTTGCTAAGGCAAGAAAAATAGCACTGAGGAAAACACTGCCTGTGAAAAGAAACAAAGGTGTGGAATATAACCCAACCTTGTCAATCAGGATTTCACTCAACAAGTCCATATCAACACGAAACTACTAACTGCTCAATTACCTGCCAAGTGCTTCCTGATATGCAAGATGCTATGCAAACTCAAACAGAACCAAAGTACTTGGCTTAGTTCCCATGAAAGGAAACCACGGAAGTCAAAATCAACCACCTTTAGCAACCTGAAACGCCATGGACACGTTCCTGAAGGATTTTTCAGAGCCAGAGAGGTTTTTATAAAACCTCAACCCGAAGAGTTACAAACAGATAACATCTATTAATGTCCATGTCTAACGCACCAAGTTACCAAACCTGCAATTCATGATATTCTGAGCTATGAAATCTAATCCTCTGGATTTCATAACACCTCATCACTCTGTAACACCTTTATCTTGAAGCCATGTGTTTTTGTGGGGTTTTTTTCTAAATAAAAGCATATTATTGATGTTTCTGATTGTTTGGTTGATTTCACCCTGCAGCCTAAGCTGGCATCAACCTTGCAGCAATCTTGTTGTCTCAGTCCTCCAAGCCCTTGCATCCAGCTAAGAGTACATTGTTCCATTAATAATGAGTCTATCCTCTACACAAACTGGACTGCCATGAAATCATTACACATGTAATGAAAGACTCTGTGATGATGAGAAGAAACTTACAATACCTTGAGAAATGAAATTTTAAGGGAGAAAGCTTATGCCTACAGGCTCAGCTTCTCTTTTAAAAACTTTCAAAAATTAACATGTTTTATTTGTGTTCTAGGAAAGGCACTGATTTTTCTTTTTGCTAAAACAACAGCTATTCCCTTTCAGATGTTTTAAGACAACGAGTTACCTTTAAACCAAGGCTAGAGTCAATACAGGTTTCAAAGTGACCTAGAAATCAGCTGAAAATAATGGTTCAAAGCCCATGTCTCCTAATGACTTTGGCTTATAAAACGTTTCCTTATAAAATGTAACATGTTTCCTCTGGTGTGAGATCAATTCTTTACAAAAAAATAGCAGAAATCATCTCAATGCTGTTTCACAGAAAGATGACCCCCTCACTCCACTCAGTCCAATGAAGTTTACATCTTTCCCAACCTAGC